GTCCTGACTCAACGAAGTAGCTCGTCTGTGCTGGCTCATTCTTTTGAACAGTGGCTGTTTTGTTTCCACAATGAATGACTGATCACTAACTGATTCTTTTTGATTTTTTCTACCTGGATTACTGAGATGCATCAGGACATTTTGTCCATGTTGACAATCAACAATCTCTTTATAGAAATGATTGCAATAATTATCCTGTGGTCRTACATTAACTTTTTTTATCTGATGTCACCAGACAGGCTCTGTATTGGCTTTAACAAGTGCAGAAAAAATAAAAATTGTGGGGCTGAAAAAAGTTTTTGAAGTACATTATAAACATGCAAAAAAGGAACATTAAACACTTTAAATTAAAAGACATAAATATCAACAATCCTGAAATACTCATATGGCTGAACAATGCAAATAAACTCACTAAGACTCAAAAACAGCTTCATCTGGAACAAAACTGTTCTTGTGTTTTTAGTCTTACAGGTACATGAATAATTCAGTCAAYGTTGAAATGGGGTCTAATGATCTATCATATAACTGTATAGTCTTTATCTGGGCTAATGGTTAGCCAAACAAGGGTCTGATTTTTACTATTTTCAGGCTTATAAAACCAATGTTTCTCAGAAATGACACACCGGTGTGAAAAAACGCTACATTAGCAAAGACCAAACTTCTTTCACAAAATTGCCCCTTTAGTTTGCCACAGTTTCTGTAACCAAAYGAGYTTTGTGTCTCGACACAGGATGGATGAATCAAGTATTTGCTGATGGTGGAAGTCASTGGGAATTTGGGTGTGCACGGTCTGCACTCTGGTGGGATTTCAGGAAAAACCACAGGTCCTAAAGCAGTGAGAGACACACCAGGTAAAATGGTGTGTTTTGATATTTCTTCTATATAAATATTAAGATTGATAAAATAAGAAAAGCTTACATAAATGTAAAGTTTAAAAAGCTCCCAAGTTAGAACTCATGACATCAGTTTCATCTACACCAAGTGTACCAGAAATCTTAGCACACWACTCTCACTTGAGCGTGTGAAGTGTTTTTCTTTTTTGTCTAATGTTTACCCTTTACTGAGGTAATAGTACTGTTTAAAAATGTAATTTATTAAAAATACAGGTACCACTTTACAATAAGGCTTCCCTTATAGATGGCTTATAAATAGTTTATAGATAGGTTAATAATTCATCCGTAAACACTTTATAAATCGTTATTAAGTGTTTATTATTCATTAATTAAGGATGAGAAAGAGACAAAACTGTACGATTTCTTGCCAAATAGTGAGCCAAATGTGTTCATGTACATATCACATCTAAAG